TAGCAACATTACAGTTATGAAGTAGCAACGAAAATAATTTTATGGTTGGGTCACAACATGAGGGACTGTATTTAAAGGGCCAGAAGGTTGAGAACCACTGTCTTAGACCATTTACATTCTGTCAGAGGACTTAAAGATTTGATGTTTTTTAGGTTTAGAGATCCCTTTTATGTCCTACCATTCAAAGGCAAAAATAATGATAAGAAGAGATTCCTGTCTTCTAAAAATCTTCAAATTTATGAGAATTCCCACCACTTTCTCAACGACTTTCCACAGACAAATTTTACAAAACTGCTTTATCAACACATTTGAAGACTTCATAATTCAAATCTGGGCATAGTAAACTTCTCAAATGCTTGGAGAAGATCTCTTTGTTAATGTGAACACTTTGCATTTATCATGTAAGTCACGGGACCACCCAGCAAAAGTACTAAGTTCAAGTCCAATTTTTAGTTGAAAGCCATCCTCATAAATATGTCTATTTCATGTTAGATATACCTACCTGATTTTGCTAAGATTTTTAATAGTTAGCTATGACTTTAAAATCTCAACATTGAATGTAGCCCTCCCTAATGGCAAATTTAGGAGCCATCTTGAGAATATCTGGGGACCATGTGTAGTATTAGCCCAGCAACATCTACAGATCAAAGTGTTAGTGTTAAACCTCAAAAAAACAAAAGTTCGTTTACATAAACAGCTTTAATTGCCCTTCCACAATCTCTCAGCCTTCATTACCACTTCAGCTTTCTCCAGCTTGGTTCCTGTGAGCAACCACTAGAACAGTGAGTGTCTTGCTTTGTGCCCTCTAGGTGGCTGCTAAATGTGGGACGTTAGCACCTGCCAGGTAGGGACTCACCAAGTAGCAAAACCTCACCTCTGGAACCAGAGGAAGATGAGGATGATATAAATGACAGCTGCTCTTTTAAAAACATGGTTCAAATATCTCTCTTTGCAGTACAACTAAACCAGCTGTAACAAAAACTTATAAACCATCTTGGTAAAAAAATAAAAGCACAAGGTAGTGGAGGTACTCATGAAAACTACTGCACACTCCACATAAGCAATGTTTAACAACTTCATATTTTAAATTACACTTTGATATCTAGATATCTAAGTATTATCAATACCAACATCGTTTTAAGTGATAATCATAGTGAATATGTAACTTTAAACAAAACAAATAAGAGGCGCCCAGAAGTTATAAAAATGGTGCCACAAGCAGAGGCACAAGATAACACTTTTTGATGATGGCCACAATGAAATGGATGCATGAGTTAGATTTAACTGGATGCTCTGATATATGCAGCAGCATTACTTACTTAGACCATAGTCCTAGACGCAGTGCTGCAGTCACCACAGGCCTTTCTCTCCTACTAACAGCTTTTCTGAATGAAATTCTGTGGGACGATGCTTTAAACATAGGGTGCATTTACAGAATCAGCACTAACAAAAATCTTAGAAAGGATAAAGGGCCAATAAGGGTATCGCAGCAGGCAACCAGAGATCTAAGAAGGAACTCTGATAAGCAAAAATTACCAAAACTTCAGAGAGGCTTGTGAATCAGAAATACAAATAAAAGTAAATTCTATTGCTGAGATATCTGACTGAGGATTAACAAAATATCTAGCTGGGAAAGGTGGCTTAAAAGTGTTTTAGCATTAAAAACAAGATCTTGAATAGAGGAACAAATAAGTCAATTAAAAGTATACAACATGATTCTTAATAATTTTGATAAACAACTAAAAAGCTAACAGTCCCTGTGAAGTATATCACAAAGACCTGGAACTCTGGAACTGAGCAGAGATATTCCCAATATAGAAAAATTATTATAAAGAAATTCTAAATAACTGAAATGCATCACATGCTTTTATCAAAGCCCACATTTAACAGTCAACTTCCTCAAATTCTCATAGCCAGCAGATTACAATTGTCTAAAGATAAAGTTATATCTATAAAATCTGCAAGTTAAGGTAACATCTCACTAAAATGAATTGAGATAGCATGCTTTTCACAAAAAAGAATTGGTCTTAGGTAACGTAATTTTTAGAGGCTAGAAACATGTAAGATAATGATAAAACTCAGTATTTTAAGATTCAATAGATTAATGCAACAAAAGTTACAAAATTTTAGCACACTGGCAAACCGGGCTGTATTTTTCTGTCTAGTTTACATCAAAATATAAGCTACCTATTTTTTTCAAGGTTTCATTATAAGTTCTTATTGTTACTGCTGTTGAGATGAGAGTATGGGCTACTGGTTGGCTACTTTATATCCCATTTTTTGGTTAAAACTATCACAAAGGCCCATGCCATTCTAGCTGGATGCCAGTTGTGTGGATATGCTTCTGTTGTTGTCGTCGTTGAACTCTATTACAGATGTCCCTAAGCTACCGAGTTTTAAAAGATTATATTTTCAAGGTACTATTTATTGTTCTACATTTCATATACTCTATCGGTAACTTTGTTAGATAACAACTTCAAATGGCTTACCTTATTGATGTAAAATTGTGACAAGGTAGCAGCATTAATAGCCCACTCTATAGGATGGTAGGCATTGTGCTCAAGCTGGCGTTTTAGGGTACTGTGGCAATAATGAGCAGCCTTCTCAAACACTTCCTTATGTTGGTAGACTTGAGCCAGGTAATACAGGTTATGAGTATAAACCTTCTCAAATCTATGAAGAAAAAAACCAATATTTGCATAATGGTTTACAATTTATACAGAACTTTCAAATATATGTACCTTAATCCTCTCACCAACCCTTTAAATCGGGAATGGCTATTTGACAGATAAGAAAACTGATCCTTAGATATGAACAGAGTCAGATATCTAAGTAAGTGGCAAATGAAGGTTTTAATTCGTTTCAGAATCCACATTCTAGAACTTTTATGAGTGCCTTGAAAGAGAAAACGTGGGGAGAACCAAGATGGCGGCATAGGTTAACGCCGGAGTTTGCTGCTCTGAACAACTACTTCAAAAGTGAAACCAAAAAACGGAAGGGACATCACCCAGAACCACAGGAACGCTGGCTGAGTGGAAGTCCTACAACTAGGAGGAAAGAGAAACGCATACGGACACTCAGAGGAGGCACAGTGCTGAAGTCAAATTCTGAGGTGCGGAGTGCGCGGAGCGGGCTGGCGGCGGAGGGCGCGGTTGGCGTTTTCAATCGGGAGGGAGTCGCAGACTCTGAGCTCCAGATCCGGGCGAGTCTTTAGGGACCCAGACTCAAACGGGAGAAGCGGGACTGTCTGGCTTCGGTCAGAGTGAGTGCAGCTTTCTCTCTGAGCTTTGCAGCGGGTGCTGGCACTCAGAGAGGCAGAGCCCCAGGACAGGACTGAGAGCCGCCATAACTGCTCTCTCCGGCCCACCCTGTTGATCCTGTGCGACCCGCCCCGCCCAAGCCCTGCACACAGGCATTTGCCGGATAGCCTCAGGCAAACACCAGATTAGCACCTCCCTAGAGGACAGAAGTTCTCTCACTGCTGACACAGCTGATTCTCATAGCCACTTGGCCTGGAGGTCAAACCCTCCCTGGAATTAACTACAACAATCAAGATTTAACTATAAGACTGTGAACAAAGACCACTAGGGGGTGCACCAAGGAAGCATAACAAAATGCGGAGACAAAGAAACAGGACAAAATTGTCAATGGAAGATATAGAGTTCAGAACCACACTTTTAAGGTCTCTCAAGAACTGTTTAGAAGCCGCCGATAAACTTAATGAGATCTACAAGAAAACTAATAAGACCCTCGATGTTATATTGGGGAACCAACTAGAAATTAAGCATACACGGACTGAAATAACGAATATTATACAGACTCCCGACAGCAGACCAGAGGAGCGCAAGAATCAAGTCAATGATTTGAAATGCGAGGAAGCAAAAAACACCCAACCGGAAAAGCAAAATGAAAAAAGAATCCAAAAATGCGAGGATAGTGTAAGGAGCCTCTGGGACAGCTTCAAGCGTACCAACATCAGAATTATAGGGGTGCCAGAAGATGAGAGAGAGCAAGATATTGAAAACCTATTTGAAGAAATAATGACAGAAAACTTCCCCCACCTGGTGAAAGAAATGGACTTACAGGTCCAAGAAGCGCGGAGAACCCCAAACAAAAGGAATCCAAAGAGGACCACACCAAGACACATCATAATTAAAATGCCAAGAGCAAAAGATAAAGAGAGAATCTTAAAAACAGCAAGAGAAAGAAACTCAGTTACCTACAAGGGAATACCCATACGACTGTCAGCTGATTTCTCAACAGAAACTTTGCAGGCCAGAAGGGAGTGGCAAGGAATATTCAAAGTGATGAATACCAAGAACCTACAACCAAGATTACTTTATCCAGCAAAGCTATCATTCAGAATTGAAGGTCAGATAAAGAGCTTCACAGATAAGGAAAAGCTAAAGGAGTTCATCACCACCAAACCAGGATTATATGAAATGCTGAAAGGTATCCTTTAAGAAGAGGAAGAGGAAGAAAAAGGTAAAGATACAAATTATGAACAACAAATATGCATCTATCAACAAGTGAATCTAAGAATCAAGTGAATAAATAATCTGATGAACAGAATGAACTGTTGATTACAAATAGAATCAGGGACATAGAAAGGGAATGGACTGACTATTCCTGGGGGGGAAAGGGGTGTGGGAGATGCAGGAAGAGACTGGACAAAAATCGTGCACCTATGGATGAGGACAGTGGGTGGGGAGTGAGGGCGGAGGGTGGGGCGGGAACTGGGAGGAGGGGAGTTATGGGGGGAAAAAAAAGAGGAACAAATGTAATAATCTGAACAATAAAGATTTAATTAAAAAAAAAGAAAGAGAAAACGTGTTTAACAATCATCTACACTATGTGAAAATGTCTGTGAGGGCTGATTTCTATACCTACTCACCTTTTTGATCTCTCTTGTTCAGTAAGTTTCTCTTCTTCAGGAAGAAAATGCTCAGTAGGATCAAGAGGAGGACTCCCAATCTACAATCAAAGAAAAACAACTCTAAAATTTCACTGTAAACATCAAGCGCCCTCTTCTGGAAGGACTGGAGAAATCAAAATTTAAAAGCCAAATACACCACTTCATTTTTCACTAATTCACTTTCATTTTACCCAAGAAGAAATTTTCTTAACCCATAAAATCTAAAAGAGTCAAAGAATTAAAAGATTTCCTACAAGCTCACGCTTGACAAAGTTTTAATGGCTGTTTCAGGTGAACTTCAAATAAACTAAAAAAAAACCACCCTGATTTTAGATAAATAATTTTTAGGTATTTTAAGTCTTTTCTTTATTTTTAATTTATCTTTATTGTTGAAAATATTACATATGTGCCCTTTTTTCCTTCCACCGTGCCCCTCCAGACCTGCTAGGAATTTTGTCTTAATTCTGTCTGATATTCTTTTAAAACCTACATAAGCATGACAAATAGAAAAAATGTATACATCCTTAGAGTAATATTGTTCTAACCTGACCACTAATGAAAAATCAAAGTTTTAAACAATTTTTCTAATATTTTTCTCAAGGAAACAAGTATATAGATTACCCTCTTTTTAAAATCTTTTATTGATTTAGAGAAACATCAATTTGTTTTACCGCTTATTTTTGCATTCATTGGTTGATTTTTGTTGTTAGAACAACTCAGCAAAATAAAATTGCCATTTATTGTTGGACAACATTGTTTCACACATACATCAAAACAGGCCAAAAAAAATAGCAACTTCATAGACAAAAAAAAGGGGGGAAGAAACCTTTTTAACCATCTCATATAAACCAACTACTTAGAGTGCAGCTAAGAAGATACACAAAAAGTTACTGGAATGCTCGGAATAAGACTGTTTTTGTTGTTGCTTTTTTTTACAAGGTTTTTTTCACACCACAAGTAAAGTCAGAAGTAGGACAGAAAGAAAAAGAAAAAAAAAGGACAGAGAATGATCCAAAGGCTAGTTTGGTCATCCCAAGATCATTAAAAATGGCGAACCCAACAATATGTACAGAAATATGAAATGTAAATAAAAAATACAAATTTTCCTTTTTAAAGTACTTAAAAAAAAAAAAAAAAAGCAGGGCCTTGGAAGTTCTGGTTCTTTTTTTCCTCCCGTTGCAAATTCACGTTGTGGTTTTGGTTGGGTGGTGGAGTGCATGTCACCTGCAGGTGGCGCTGCCCGTGTTGGGCGGGCAGGCAGGAGCCTCTACTTGAAGGTGACCATGTTTAGATTCTGAGATGGGAAGTGGAGGGAGAATAGGTCACGGAGTCCTTTTTTCTTTTAAGTGTAACTTTTCCTTTTTTGCTGCCTAGTCATCCTCATCATCTTCAGCTGCCCGTGTGCCCGTAGATGCCTCAGCCTCCTTATCTTCATCTCCATCCTCTTCCTCACCATCACCTTCCTCTTTCTCCTCTCCTCCTTCTTCTACCTCATTGTCAGCCTCGGGCTCTCCATTTTCATTAGCATTTCCATTCGCAGGTGCATCTCTTCCATTTTCTGCCTTCACAACACCCTTCTTTAAGTCCCTGGTGGTGATTTTGGAGCTGGTGTCCACAGCCGTGTCTGACATGGTGGGGCAAGCCAGTGATCCGATGCAGCAAATTTTTTTTTTTTAAAGTGAGAGTTGGAGGACTCTGGCGTAGAAGTTGCTGGAGTCCAAAGTGGCAGAGGAGGCGCGTGGTGGAGGTAGCTGTAGCCAGCGGAGAGGCAGCCACAGAACAATGCAAAGATGGCTTTTCAGAGCAGCCAGTTTCATTGGTTGATTCTTGTATGTGCCCTGACTGGGGATCGAATCCCCAACCTTGAGGTATTGGGACGATGCTCTGACCAGCTGAGCAGGCCAGGGCTGATTATCCTCTTTCAATACAGGGACATTAAAAACAGTTATTCTTGCCCGGCCTGCATGGCTCAGTGGTTGAGCACTGACCTATGAACAAGGAGGTCACAGTTCAATTCCCGGTCAGGTCAGGTGTCTGGGCTGTGGGCTCGATCTCTAGTGTGGGTGTGCAGGAGGCAGCCAATCTATGATTCTCCCTCATCATTGATGTTTCTATATCTCTCTCCCTCTCCCTTCCTCTCTGAAATCAATAAAATATATATTTTATAAAACAACAAAACAGTGATTCCACTGTTTATTGCCTTGAGCTTCTGCTTCCTCCTCGGTAAAAACGATAAAAGTGTACCTACCTCATAAGAATGCTAGGAGGATTCAATGAGTTAATATGTGTAAGTCACTTACAACCCCATCTTAAGTCTTCCAAAAAAACAGCTACTTAACCTCTGCCTAATTCTACTTGTTTGAGAACAGTTTCATCTACAAGCCCATCCATACTTTAAACTGAATTCACTAAACTCCAAATAGTAACAATACTTCCCATGAAAAAAAAAAATCTTACATTTTGTATGCAAACAATAAAAGCATCATGACTTGGGGTCCTAGAATTCATAGAAAGTGAAAATGACTAAGATAGGAAGCAAGGCCAAAGGCAAACATAATAGATTTTTAATTAATTCTGCAAAGACCATCTCAACAATTTTAAGGGCTGTTTAGTATGCTTACCCCTGTCTTAATGAGGGGAATTAGTCAACGTATTATTTTATGTACATACTTCACTGTTATGACTATCACACTTTATGTGTAACACTGGCAGTTAAATCAGTCTCTTAACTAAAACAGAGGCATAAAAATAGAGTGGCCTGAACTGTGTAGCTCAGTTGGTGGGGTGTTATCCCATGCACCAAAAAGGTCACTGGTTCCATTCTCAGTCAGGACACATGCCTGGGTTGCAGGCTCGATCCCTAGCAGGGGGTGTGCAGAAGGCAGGTGATTGATGTTTCTCTCTCTTCCCCTTATCCCTCCTCTTTCTCTTGAATCAATACATACATTTTTTTAAGTACACAGTGTTTTGCTACATGTTTTATGTTTCCTTATTAATACTAGTTTTGAATGAAATATTATAGGTTTTTGGTATCTTTACATTTTAATTTAACAAATTCATATATTAAGAGTGAGCCTAAAATCATAAACAGAGATTAACATCTCAATTTGGCTTTGTGGTTCTCTGCTCTTCTTAGTTCTTAAGGAGGAAAGTTATAACACCAAGGTAGAAGAGCCATGACAAAGAATATATGTACCCCTATGTTCACAGCAGCACAATTTACAATAGCTAAGATCTGGAAACAGCCCAAGTGCCCATCAGTAGATGAGTGGGTAAAAAAGCTGTGGTACATTTACACAAAGGAATACTATGCAGGTATAAAAAAGAAGGATCTCTTACCTTTTAAGAGCATGGAGGGACCTAGAGAGTATTATGCTAAGTGAAATAAGCCAGTCAGAGAAACACAAGTATCACATGATCTCATTTATATGTGGAATCTAATGAACAAAATAAACTGAATAAAACAGACCCAGAGACACTGAAGCATGCAACAGACTGATGCATTTCAGAGGGAAAAGGAGGGATGGGAGAAATTAACCAAAGAACTTATATGCATACTAGAGGCCTGGTGCATGGATTCATGCACATTGAAAGGAAATTAATTAGAAGAAATATTTTAATATCACTATTCGCCCTTTCTCTATAATAGAAGTGTCAACCAAATACACAATCGACAATGACAGATCGAAACACACGTGTGCTATTGGTGCCTGCAAGAGCTTTATATGTATCATGCATGTGTGAGTCAACTTAGCCTTTTATATATATAGAATAAACTTGCTTAATGAGACCTACTTTCTGATTTAGCTAAACTTTTTCCAGCTCAGTGAAGCACCCCAACTTCTCTTTCAAGTAATTGTCAGCAACACAGCAGTAAATATCAACACAAAGCAGATTGTGAGGATCAAATGAGATGAGGCACGGGAAAACTCTTCACAAACATTTGGTTAAAGTGTAAAATGTTTGCACCTGGCTATAAAGCAAGTTGTGTTCCTGGGCTGAAGAAACTCCAAGGAGGCTAGTCACTAGGGAGAGGAAGCCGGGCATTGCTACTTGACGTCATTACTTAGCACCCACAGCAATCGTTTCCGGGCTGGGCTATGGGCTGCATTTTGCGCCATGGGGTCTTGGCAGCATTGGCTGCAATTTGGTGGAGTGTCACTTTGGGGTGGTGGCAGGGCCTGTGTCCCACTTGGGGGAAGCCGAGTGTTGGTGTGTCAGCGCCAGGTCCGTGGTGCCAGCCAGTGCATGTCATGGCAGCTCCTGTGTTAAGCATCTGCCCCCTGGTAGTCAGTGCACATCATAGCTACCAGTCGGACGGTCAGAGGGATACAGCCTTTTATATATATAGATATGCATAACCCATGGACACAGACAATAGTGCAGTGAAGGACTGGGGAAGGAACAGGAGTAGGGTAGAGGGAGTTAATTGGGGGAGGGGGGGGCGTGTATCTAATACTTTCAACAATAAAGATAAATTTTTTTAAAAAGAGAGAGCAGGAAGGAGAGTAAAACCAGTTTTAGTTGAGCACCTACTATGTGCCAAGTACCATCTTATACCTATGTTAGTTCATTCTTTGACCAATGCTACAGGGTGCAAGTATCACTATTTCCATTTCACATATGAGGAATCTAAGGCCCAGAGAAGTAGAGTGACTTATCAGAAGGCTATACGGTTAATAGGTTCAGGATTCAAACTCAGATATGTATACAAAGTCTGTGCTCTCCCCACCCCATGAAAATAATAATAATAATTATAAACTGACAAAGCAAATAGGAATGCTCAATCTGTGCATTCTGCTTACAGTGCATTGCTTCTATCTGCTATCATCATTGTGACACTACACTGTTCTTAAAGGAGCACTGAGCACTAGTGTTCTACACTAAGTCCAACTACCAAGTGAGGCAGCAGAGTCTAGGTTAAAAGTATGGGTTCTGGAATCAGATTGTGTGGATTATAATCCCAACTTCACAATTTACTAGTGTGTGGAGACAAGTAACTTAATCCCTTGTGGTCTGTTTTCTCACCTCTAAATTAAGAATAATAAAAGTACCCACCCCAGAAATTGCCATGAGGATTAAATGAGTTTAAATTTGTAAATCACTTTTAACAGTGTCTGCAAGTACAGCTATCAGGTGACCACCCAGACAGCTCTATAGAGCGGTCCCTAAGTATACTGAGGAGTCATACACATATTATGAGTAAGGAATTCTTAACATCAGTTCTTGACTAGTTTCAATGAAATGTTAAAATTTATCTGACATGCAACATACCTCTTTCATATACCGAAGATATAGTGCTTCTGATGAGTCTAGGTAAGCTTGTGCTGTTTCAATTTCTTCTCTTTCAGACCACAAAATACCCAGATTATTCTGGAAAATAAAGAGAAATAATGACAATATAAATCATCTAGTAACAGTAACTTTTAGTTTCAAAGTCAAAATTTACCTACCAAACAGTACTGGAGTCTGATTAACAATGAATTATTCCCAACATTGTCTTTATGTAGTGGTAAACAGCTACTGATGGACCCCTAATGATCACCGCCTCCTGGTATTCATGACCTTGTTGTATAATCTTTTCCCCGTAAGTATGGGCTGGATTTAGTGGCTTGCTTCTAACAAACAGAATATGGCAGTGATGGCGAACCTTTTGAGCTCGGTGTGTCAGCATTTTGAAAAACCCTAACTTAACTCTGGTGCCGTGTCACATATAGAAATTTTTTGATATTTGCAACCATAGTAAAACAAAGACTTATATTTTTTATATTTATTTTATATATTTAAATACCATTTAGCAACAACAACAAAATCAACCAAAAAAATGAGTTCACGTGTCACCTCTGACACGCCGTGTCATAGGTTCGCCATCACTGGAATATGGCAACAGTGATAGAAGGTCTCTTCCCAGATTAAGTTACAGAACACCATTCCATTTGAGGTGCTCTCCCATTCTCTCTGAGGGAAGTCCACTGCCATGTGGTGGCTGTGCAGACTCGCATGGCAAGGAACTGAAGGAGGTCAACTGAAGCCCTCAGACCAACCACCTGTAAGGAACTGAAACCTGCCAACAATCCCATAAGAGCGTTAGGAAGATCCTCCCTCAGTTGACCCTTCAAGTGCAGCCTCAACAGGCCAACAATAGGATGAGAGACCTTGAGGCAGAGGCGACCGGCTAAACCATGCCTAGATTCCTGAAATAAAAGTTGTTTCTTCAAGATCCTAACTTTGGGGGTAAAATTTTACATAGCAATAGGTAGTATACATCGAGACAAAGATGAGCCAGAAACATGTTTTCAAGTATCTACAATCTCCAGAGTCCTCTTAACAGTTATTGTTTGGTTCAAGCCTGAAGAAAGGGAGGTGAGCTCTCAAATTCCAATTATTCAAATTATGTTATGAAGACTCTGAAGATGCTATATGCCTTTACTCATCAGTTAAGTCAGATTCCCAATGTTTACCATTTCAAACAATAAAACATGTTTGTACTTTTCAGAGTTCTTAAAATTATATAGCTTTGTAATTATATCCAGTCAACTAAAAATTCTTCATTTGTAGTGTCTTTTCTTGTATTGATCACTTCCTTTTGATTTCCATAGCACGAACTTCCTTCTGCTACCATGAAGGTGCTAAGAAATTGATTAGATTTGGGGTAAAATGCTAAATAACATTTTTAAAACTAAGCCAGTTTGTCCCCTGGCATGTGACTCTGTAAGGCGCTGTACAGAGCAAATCAGGACTGTTTAGATGGTCAAAACTCAAGACTGGATGCCTAGCTAACCTTTAGAAAACAGGGTTAAACTGCCTCCCACCCCATGGGATCGTGGGATAGTCCTTCAGGCACAAGGAAACTTCTGAGGCTGGGTTTCTACCACCTTCTGCTTACTTCCCTAGGGAGGGGCACAGGATAAAGAAAGAGGTTTATGATGTGTGTGTGTTTTTAAATACATTTTATTGATTTTTTAGAGAGAGGAAGGGAGAGGGAGAGATAGAAACATCGATGAAAAAGAAACATCATGGATCAGCTGCCTTCTGCATGCTCCCCACAGGGGATCAAATCCACAACCCGGGCATGTGCCCTGACTGGGAATTGAACTGGTGGCCTCTTAGTTCCTGGTTCGATGCTCAACCACTGAGCTACACCAGCCGGGCACAAAGAGTTTTTAATGCAGATTAACCTGTGGTCCACAGAACCACAAGGTACCCATTAATAGAATTCAGAGTCTAAGAATATGGATGGAAAAATCATTTCAATTTATTTTCACTATGTTCTACTAAAATTTAGCATTTCTTTTAATTATGAAAGCAGGAAAAAAAATGCAACAATATGCTCTGGGGGGTGTGGCTCTGTGGTCAGGGCATCGGCCTAAGGACCGAAGGGTCGTGGGTTCGATTCCTGGTCAAGGGCACAAACCTGGGTTGCAGGTTCATCCCTGCCCAGGTCAGGGTATGTGCGGGAGGTAACCAATCGGTATCGGTATCTCTCTCTCTCTCTCTCTCTCTCTCTCTCTCTCTCTCTCTCCTCTCCCCACCCCCCCCCCTTCCTTTCCTCCCTCCCTTCCACTTTCTCTAAAAAATCAATGGAAAAATATCCTTGGGTGAAGATTAACAACAACAAAATAAGCAGCAGTATTATAGTACCTGAGATTTTGTGACCTATAAAAGTGAGAAAAATCTTAATGTTACAATTTGCTGATCTCAAAATATTTATATTCATTACTATTTTAAAATTATGAACATTGCCCAGCCCGCATGGCTTCAACCTATGAACCAGGAGGTCATGGTCCAATTCCCAGTGTGGGGTGTGCAGGAGAGAGCCAATCAATGATTCTCTCTCATCACTGATGTTTCTCTCTTTCTCTCCCTTTCCCTTCCTCTCTGAAATAAAAATATATTAAAAAATAAAATAAAATTATGGACATTAGACACATCGTTAGATGTTGTTTAACATATTAATAAAGAAGCACACATATTACTACATCATACATTTGTTTTAAAAAATATTTTGATCCCTAGCTGGATTGCTCAGTTGGTTGGAGTGTTGTTCCATACACCAAAAGGTTATGAGTTCAATTCCTGGTCAGGGCACATACTTAGGTTGTGGGTTTGATTCCTGGTTGCAGTGCATAACAATTGATGTTTCTCTCTCGTATCAATGTTTCTCTCTCTCTCTTTCTCTAAAATAAATGAAAACATATCCTTAGGTGAGGATTAAAATATATATGTGTGTTGATAACTTTTATATAACTGGTTCCTTTAATATTCTTTTACATTTTATTTTATACATTTAAAATCATTCC